AATACGACCGTGTCGGCCTAATTCGGTGCTGGGCCCGTTCCATTTACCATTGGTCGCTCCAACGATTTTGAAAATTAAAAACAACATCGCATCGTTAAAGATTGTCGGTGCCAAATCAGGACTGTAAGGAGTATCACCTGATAGCTTAATTGATGGGCTGTCTAGAATTATTTTGTTTTGATCATTTAGTGTGTAGGCGCATGTCATGGTGAAGCAGTAGCCCGCGGAACCGCGTTCAGTCACTTGTTGCTTACAACAGCGAATACTTCTAATTCTGGCAAATATTTGGTAGTATTAATATTGATGCTTCCTCAATTTCGTAAAGGAATTGATTCCAGATACGTCGTCTAAGTTTAAAACCTAGAGAGCAAACTTCACTGCGCTTGGTGATCGCTTCAGGCTAGTAGTTGTGCGTTGGTAAATTTTGAAAAAGCCAAACAGTCGACTCGCACTTTGTTTCTGAATCGTATTGATAATTCACCTGCAATAATGTAGTGCGCCGAGACGAAGCTGCTTCAAATTTAGTAATTATGTTACGACACTGTTTCGCGTAACTATCGCGTGTTCGTATAAAATCTAGTGAACGCTTCCCGATCTAATGTGCAATATGTGCTAAATCTCTTCATACGAAAATCGCCTATTCCCTCCAGTCAAAACTTTCATTGCTAGTCCGTTCCCTCAGCTTCCGTAACGTCTGTCTAAGAGTCTAAAAGTGACAACTCATTCCTTTATCTCTCAAAATTAGTTAACTGTGTTGAATTTTGTTATAACGGTCACAATTGCCTTAGGGGGTCCTTTCTCAATAAATGCTATTTGACATCAAACGATTCGCGTAATCCGGGTAACCCGGGTTCGATGCCCGCCGGTTCAATACCAATGAACTGGTAAATCGCAATTTTAAGTGCCGATTTATCACGCGCTTAGCGGTGAATAACAACATCGTTAGGAAACGTGCATGTTTAAGAAATAAAATAAAAAATTCGAAGACATGTGAAGTCCGCCAGCGCGCATTGGGACAGCGCGGCGAACATTTCCCTGCCCTAAAACTTCTTTCAGAAATGAGAGGAGGCCTATGCCCAGCAGTCGGACGTACATAGGCTGTAACTTTAAGGCCCCGTGTCATTTCGGGCAAATCTGATCATTGTTTGTGTGAACAGGAAAACGAATTTTAACTTTTTTTATTTTTATTATAATAGTTTTAATAAGTTAGTTCTTAATCTAATATCTCGCTTGAAGGGATGTATCATATCTATATAATAATGGCAAATCACCAATATTCACAATCCTTTTTCCGAAAAGTAACGATCAAGTGACTTTTGTCTTCGTTTTACAACGAAACTACAAAATATTTCAAACATTAAAAAATATAAATAACATAAGTATACAGTTTACTTGTTTGTAGCCAGATCAGTTTTTTAATTTCTATCCAAATATTAAAAAAAAATTTGAAATCAAAAAAAAAAATTGAAAAAAATTTAGAAAAAAATTGTTGAAATAACGTAATTTCCAGAAAACTTCGTTCGAAATAAGTATTTTTTTTTTCTATTACATAGAAACACTTTTAATTAATTTAAAAAATTACGAATTAATCTTAAGATAACCCTTTATTTGGAAACTAAATTCTATTTCATAAATAAATAATAATTTCGTTTATTACTAAATGGCAAAGTAAACTGTATTATCGACCGCGCAAAATCGATCCGATCAGTAATGGTGGTTAATATAGCGCATAGCGCCATATTTATAGCGCGCTATCTCTCCATAACACATAGCGCGTGTTATGTACGTAGTTACCATGGCGCTATTGCGCTATGGCGCAATGGCGCTATTAAGTATTAATATTTAGCGGCAACTAGTTCTAGCAGCAGCGCTGTTGGGAGAGGACTTGTGACGCAAATTTGATCTAGTAGCACGCTATTCATCGCGCGTGACCTAATTTAGTGTTAGACGTTGTTTAGTTTGTATATACTGTATATTTATAAGTGATGGAAAGATACAGTTGTCTGCTATAAAAGAAGTCTAACTAATGTTTGAAATGTAAATAAAATATAGATACAAAAGTGTATATAATAGTGTATGTAAATCGTTAATTTTTATAAATACAATCATTTAATAAACTTTTAAATGCACCTTTATTTGATTTATAATTTATATTAAGGTTAAAATAACGTTTACATCAATTATAATAAAAATAATTAATTTTATTTCGTTTTCAAAAGTACATACTTTAAAAATATTTTTAGGATTATAGAAAGTCGTAAGCCTGAAAAGTATGAAAAATTCTAATTGGTTTTTCTTTACCACTTTATTTTATTTTAATCTAAAATGCGACTTATTACGAAACAATGTTCTTATATAGCACGCGGACTATCCAATGAACGACATGTAATGTAGCGTGCTCCGAGATTAGCGTGCTGCTAAACTTAATGCGCTTGCCGGCCTCCTACACGCTTTCTTATAAACAGCGCGCTATAACATAGCGTATTTAATAGCGCGCTAGAAATTTATAGTTTATAGTTTGTAGCGTGCTATTGACTATATCAGTGACGACCGGGCCTTTCCAGAGCGAGGACGTATCACGTTGCCTCGCAGGCGCTCCCGTGCAGTGTTGCCAACATTAAAATCTAGCTCCCGTTGTAGAGAACACTATAATCCCGTCAAGTACGGTAGACAAGTGTCAATTATTCATTTCTAGTGACCGAATCATTCTAGTACATTTCGTCACGCGTACTGGTACATTCGGATCGATCATTCAAATGGATCCAGTACTCTGTTGAGTCTGTGAAATCCATTGGGAACCGAACATTTTATATTTGAGATTTGTAATAGCGCCATCTACTACATGATATAGGTAATAAAGTCATTCTATCGAACTAAAACTTATTAAATTTCAAGGATATCACAGGTTCACAGGATATGCGACTCAAACAGTAAAGAGAGAAAATGAAATAAATAGAGTAGTTGATAGTTTTCTATATATTTAACAGTAGCGCATCATTTTGGCCGACCAACGACAATAAACAGTTTTCGAGCTGTATTTAAAAAAAACTACGTCAAATAAAAATTTACTCTCTCAACTTTTTTAAGATAAGAATGTATTGCACATTTTTTCGTATTTTTAAACTAAAAAAATGAAAACAAAAACAAATCTAAAAAAACGTAAATTTTTTTTGTCCCCCGTTAAAAATCCGTTACCCGTTATAACACAATTTTTTCCCGTTGCCAACCTCGCTGTCCCGTCAAATCTAACGGGAATCCCGTCAAGTTGGCAACACTGCTCCCGTGTTTTATGTAAACATTTCCAGAAATTGTACGCCGACCACTAAATTTTGATCAGGGTAAGTATTTTTTTTTTGATAGTTTGTTTATTAAGAATAATAATATGTTGCACGCCTAGTCTTTATATAAAAAGTTCAGGTGTGCGTGTTCGTAATTCTTGTTATCCTAAACGGCTATACCAATTATGATGATTTTTTTCTTCGTATGGGATCACCTGGGTGGTTCTTAGTACCTAATAGTTAGACCCGGCTGCTGTCTCAGTACGTCTGCTATGTTCATTGATATTTTATTTTTGATAGTTTTTTTAATGATTAGTACCCATTTCAGATACCATTCATAAAATACGATTTTGTCTACTGTTGCATTTCATTATGTCCGTAAAAATACCACCGCAACTGCATCGAATTGGGTCAAAATTAAGATACCTAAATTGTGATCTATGGCAGGGTGACGAACCTATAAAGATCAACATGCCATTCTTTGTAAATAAATGTTTAAAGCGGGGCCATAGATGTGCCATCCAATTATTAAGACCTAGTAATTATTGGGAAAATAATAAAAACAATAATAGCAACTCCACGCACCGCGCCTACTCACTCCGTAACGTAGGCTTAGTCGCGTTCTTTAGTTTTCCATAGTGTTTGTTACATACTTACTAAACTAAATAGGCCGAATGTTTTATCGAAAATACAAGTATTCTTTAGCATGTTCGGCTTATTTTTGCCAAAATGTGTACTTTGTATCCCTCATGGATAAAAATAAATTCAAAACATTGAGTAAATATTATAAAAGAAACGAGTATTATCAATTTTAAAATCAAAGTATTTACTCGACGTGTACGTCACGCTCTGTATTTTATTTATCCTTTTAACATTCCGTTTCTCATATACGGCCTAATATTTAAATTTAAATGTTTTGCATTTACAAAAACTTTGTTTTAATGAAATCGCGATGTTTGATTTTCGGGCAAATACCAATAAGACATGTTAAATTTGTCTGTACTCTCTAGCAGACATTAATGACATTGCAGAACGAAAACATTGAATTACTTAAATATATATGCATAGTGTATTTGTCTAACACATTTCTTTTTTATTTTCATTTTATGTTGATTGTAATAAATATACTTAACTATTATACAAAAACATCCCAGACTTTTATTTCTAAACCGTTCTTACTATGTATCCTAAAATAATTATCAACTAAAGGATCAAAATTGTTTAAGCGAGCACTGCGCTCGGTCTAGCCGTGTGTGCGTAAACGATGCACACAAAGATAGCACCGCAATGAATTTGCCTAAACTCTATGGAATAAATTTTCTGCACGGCCTCTTAAACAATTTGTCTGGTTGTAGGCGATATTTGAAACTGTAAAAGATTTAGCGCGAAAATGTTTTAGTAAGATACGAAATTTTTCACACACACTGACACACAGCAGTTACACCATGGTGTAAGCAAAAATAAGTCGGCTAGACCATAGAAGAACCACGCTTTCACAGAATATCAGTGTGAAACAGCAACTAAATGCTGCTGCATTGTATCTTTACCCTCAGGGGTGACAACGAATCTACATTTTTAATACTTAATCGAGGAAATATGTAGGTGTCTCTGAGGTCTAAATAAAATAATAATAGTATACAGTTGCATATGTAAAAATTTCTATGTTAATTCACAAATAAATGGTACGTGTATAAATATTCGGAAGAAAATATAAATACTCACTTTATAAAACCAGTAGCACCCATAGATGAAACCGCCGTAAACAATAACAGATAGAATGCGGTCTCTGAACCTAGACCGTCTTGAATAATTAAAGGACTTGAGGTCCGATATGATTGAGGGCACGTCGATCAGCTCCCCACATTTCTCGATCGCCTTCTGTATCTCGTAGTCGGTCAAGCCCTTGTTACGTAGGAACCGCTTCTTGCTTTCAAGCGTGCAGCGTTGCACATTTGGGTTGGAGAGGAACTTCACCGCTGTCGTCACCTGTAACTGATAGTTGGTTTTAATTTGGCTTTAAAATAAGTACTATACTGCTGGCATCAACCTGCTCTCATTTTCAGCACAGAGAACTATGCTATTCCAGTAAGAGATGGCTAATTTCACAATTATCCTAGATATCTTTGGTTACTCTAAATTTGATTAAATTAATGTTATATAGTTTTATTTAAATTGGTGGTAATTATTTCAATGATGAGAGCAGCTATGATCTAACTTTACGGTCGGTTGCTTCAGACATGTTATACACAATACCAACAATGTTGCATGAGGTCACCTTGACTCTATTGTTTTTCATTTTTCTTACTGGAAGCATATGCAGCTACTAATTTGCATCTAATTTTATACACTTAATTGAGTGGATAGAGGGTCTCGAATATTTGACAAAATATATAAGGGCTTGACCACTGCAAGCTGAGAACAACAAAATCCTAACAAAGTATTAATTCATTTTAGACTGTAAAAAGTTCACTATTAAACATAGACCTTCCCATTAGACTAGTGGGTTTTAATCAGGCAACACATTTGTCTGCTACCAGTCCGTGCTGTATAAGCAGATTTGTCAGTAGTTATGTTTTAAATATACCCTTCACTCTATATCAGTAATATGTATTTAATAGATATCTTAAGTGAAATCGATTGAAAAGTGAAGGAATTCAAGAGTGGAACCAATAGGAAATTAGCAAATTAAGAAGACTTGGAAAAAACCAAGACAAGAAAAAATTAAAAAAGACCAATACGTTCAACAAAATAATAATAATAATGAAACTAAGTAAGCAGAACAGCTAAAAATATGTTTTTTATAGAAGAGGGGCCAAAAGCTCATGTGGCCTGATAGTGACTACTGCCACCCATGAACAACCGGAACACCAGATTAATTCCAGGTGCATTGCCAACCTTTTAAACAAGAATTTTCTTAAAGGTCCCAAAATCATATCGGTCCAGCAAAATCGCTGACGTTTATTTGCTGTGTTTTGTATGGTTAGTGTAGAGAAACAGAGTTCCTTTTTACTGTAAATGAGGCATTCCATCTTAGTCTTCAAGGGTGACCAACATATCTGCATTTTGATTCTTAATTGAGAATAAATGTCTATGGGCCACACATCCACTCACCATCAGGTGTACCTTGTGATTGTTTTGACATCTTAATTCTATAAACAGAAAGTTCTCTTCGAAAGTTCATCTTTACTTTTTACTAATAGTTTTGTTTTTAAAGTGGACTTGGAATATCACAGACTCAATGTAAGAATGAGCGTATCATCTAAATAGTTTTGTTCACCCTTAGGGATGAAATTTTTCTCCAAATCTTAGTTTAAGCGACAGTAGCCTAATGGCGAGGGCGGACTGCGAACTCAAAAAGGTCGTGGGTTCAAATCCACCATTCGACTACTGGCGTGAACCACTCGTAACACAAGCAATTTAAGCTTACCATGAGTGGTTAAGGGGAATATTAGTAATGTTTGTAGTATTGTTAATATTCTTTTTAAAGAAAAAAAATCCAATCCAATATATGGGATGTGGCAGTGTAAGAATATCTACTACTCAATATCATCCCGTGAATATCATAAGAGGCAGCAGATAGAATCTGAAACAGGAGATGGGCAGCAGCATCTTCTAGATAACAACTTAAAATAATAAAAAACTGCAATTCATGAATAAATTACAAAATAAGTAGTTGAATATACGTATTGCTGAATCTAGTGCAACATGTATAGATAACATTTTTACAAATGTTAAGCCGTTCAATAAATGTATAATTCAAAAATTGAGCTCTGATCACTGTGGACAATTAGTTTCATTACCTTATGTTCACAAAAAGCAAATAGATAAAAAATTAGTGTTTGTTCCAGTAAATGCACATCACTTGGAGAAGTTTAGAAGCAACACAGTAAAAAAACTTCCATTACTTTCATACCAAAATAATCCAAATTTTTTGTATGGAACATTATTTAAGCTTATTTGCAATGAATTTAATAATACTTTTACTTCCAAAACATTCTCCTTGAACAATCGCAAAGCATTTAATGAATGGGCGATAGTAGGAGTCCATAAGAGTAGACAAAGGTTATATGAACTTTACAATGAAAGGATATACTAGCGTCAAATGGATATGTAAAAAAATATTCCAAAATATTTAAAAGAGTGTGCTCCTTAGCCAAGTCATTGTATTTGAGCAACAAAATAAAGACTGCTTCTAATAAAATTAAAATGACAAGGAGTATAATTAATAGTGAAACTGGTAAGGTCAACTCTCGCAATTCAAACTACCAGTTAAGTTTTAACAATAAATTAACTAAATCAGATCAGGACGTTGCAATGGTTTTTGAGAAATATTTTACTGATATTCCGATCTTAACCACTAAGTCACTGAATTCTTCTCCTGCCGTCGCCGAATCATTACTTAAACAAAATGTAAATATGTGTACAAAGAATTTTACATTTCATAAAGTGTCATCAAAAGATATTGAAAAATATTTTAAGACTATTGATATTAAGAGAACCGCCATCTGTGGGGGATTTCTGTTAAAGTTATTGCATCTATAATAGATGCGATCGCACCTCAACTATCTATTATTTTTAATACTAGTATTGAATCTGGTGTATTTCCTGATTTAAAGAAGCATAGTAAAGTAATTTACTTTTATTTAAATCTGGTAGTACATTGGACCCCGCTAACTTTAGACCTATTTCTGTACTGCCAACACTTAGTAAAATTTTTTTAAAATGTAAATTAAAAAAAAAAAAAGGACCCAACTGATGCTGGTGTTGAGCTGATTAAATATATATTTGATGCATGGGAGAATTCACAGGATGCTTTGGGTGTATTCTGTGACATATCCAAAGCCTTCGATTGTGTTCACCATGAAACATTAATCAGGAAACTTCAACACTTACTTACACTGTGTAAGAAGCGATACTCTTAAATTAATTATTTCATATTAAGTGACAGAACGCAAAAAGTTGTCATTAATAGTATGAGTTCTTCCGTGTCGATTGTACAAATGGGCGTGACTCAGGGCTCAATTCTCGGCCCTTTTCTATTTCTAGTATATGACTATCCTATATCCTACTATGTAAGGTATGACTTACCTTACATAGTAGGGGATAACCATGATATAGTATTATTTGCTGATGATACTTCATTAATTTTCAAATTAAAACGACAGTTATTAAATTACGACGAAGTAAATAATACTATAGCTAGTTAGTCAATTGGTTTAATGTTAATAATTTGCATTTGAATGAAACTAAAACTAAATGTATGAAATTCGTAATTCCTAATGTTAAACACGTCAATACTAATGTAATTTTAAATGGGGGGGCAACTGAGTCTTGTTGATACCACCATTTTTCTTGGAATACACATTGGACGCAAAGCTTCAATGGCTCCCCCATATATCAAAACTAGCTAGCAGACTTAGTTCTGCAGCATATGCTGTGAAAAAGATTAGAACTCTTACCAATGTTGAAACAGCTAGAATAGTTTACTTTAGTTATTTCCATAGCATTATTTCATATGATATTTTGCTATGGGGACACGCGACTGACACTAAAATTATATTTATTTTACAGAGAGGGCCATTAGAGCAATATATAATTTAAAACCAAAAGAGTCACTGAGACAAAAATTTAAGGAAATTAATATATTAACTCTGGCCTCTCAATACATTTATGAAAATGTAATGTACGTACACAAAAATAAAAGTAGTTTTGCGAAAATAAGTGATATTCATTCTGTAAATACTAGGAACAGACACAAGCTAGTAGTACCAGTTACTCGACTTCACCGAGTCAGTAATTCATTCTTGGGGCGATGTATACGCTTTTACAACAAAATCCCAGAAAATATACAAAATTTGTCATACACGAAGTTCAAAAATGTTATTAAACTAAGTTTGTATAAAAAGGATTATTATAATATTAAGGAATTTATGGATGATAATAACCCCTGGGGAGGGTGATCGCTACCAAGCTATTTCTAATTTGTCTTGTGTTGACTATTGTATAACACATTAATAAAAGTTTCTGTTTCTGTTTCAATAGAATAATTTTATATAATATTAATTAAAAGTCATTAAGTTACAGCCGTCCCACGCTGGGACAGGCCCTGAAGGTTTTAGCAGCCGCCCCAATGCGTTTCGAACTCACAACCCGAAATATTTTATTTTTATTTCTCAGACATGCAGGTTTCCTCACAATGTTTTCCTTCACCGCCGAGCACGTGGTAAATCAGCACTTAAAATTGTACACAGTAATTAACAATGTCATTGGTGCCGGTGTCGAACCTGGTTGTTAGCGACTGTAAATTTACATAACCATCACCACACCTAGCATAGCTAAAAGTCATTTATGCTTTTACAATTGGTTCGGAAAAAACTTCTGCCTTGAGAACCTGCAAGAATCTCAGCGGGACTATAATTATTTACAATTAAAATTAAATTAAGACCGCGTAGAGGCAGTGTAAGAATATCCAGCATACCATACCATCCCTGGACGTTGTAAGAGGCGACAGAGGGAAGCAAATCAATTTAATTTTTGTAATTTTAGTTGTTAAAATAGAGTAATCAGTTTGTGTCATTTTTAGTTTTTAGAATTGAAAAATGTATGTTTAGATAAGGAAGAGCGGGGTTTCCAAACACAAGCATTACTTGCTTAAATGGTGTAAACTGGAGTAATCAACTATATAAATAATTGGGCAGCAGTGTCATCCTAATAATGAATAAAAAACTACAGTTGCCGACCCGTTTGCCAAACGTGACAACTATGGCACAATCCCTCTTACGAGGCAGTCTATGAGAGAGGCCTATGTTCTGCTGTGGACTTTTATAGGCTGTAATGGAGAATCCGTTCACTAAAATCTGTTCACAAATTCAACAAAGATATCACATATCACAAATACTAACAATTAACACAGTGGTATCAGGTCCTTTTCATGAGTTCGTACAAAAAGGCTCACCCAGAACAAAGTGACACACACAGTATCAGTATTCTACAGAGAAATCAGATGTTGACACATCCAAGATGTCTCTCAATTTAAATGAACTAAGGCCGGAAAATTATAATAAAGAATCGTGTTCTTGGTGTAATTAAAGTGGTACGGTATAAGTTAAGCAGGCCTTTCAATGTGTGTAAAGTATACTGTCAAATATGGGTAACAAATAATAAACAAATGTGGCATTAAATCGCTCCAAATTAAAGATGATAAAAACGGAACGAAGGGTGTTAGTTGAAATGTTGTTAACGAAATTTAGAAGTCCTCAAAATTTATATTCTAAATAAATATTTTAGAAGATTGGGCAGTAGTGTCATCCTAATAATGAATAAAAAACTACAGTTGCCGACCCGTTTGCCAAACGTGACAACTATGGCACAATCCCTCTTACGAGGCAGTCTATGAGAGAGGCCTATGTTCTACTGTGGACTTTTATAGGCTGTAATGGAGAATCCGTTCACTAAAATCTGTTCACAAATTCAACAAAGATATCACATATCACAAATACAAACAATTAACACAGTGGTATCAGGTCCTTTTCATATGAATTCGTACAAAAAGGCTCACCCATAACAAAGTGACAGCGAAAGTGACACAGTATCAGTATTCTACAGAGAAATCAGATGTTGACACATCCAAGATGTCTCTCAATTTAAATGAACTAAGGCCGGAAAATTATAATAAAGAATGGTGTTCTTGGTGTAATTAAAGTGGTACGGTACAAGTTAAGCAGGCCTTTCAATGTGTGTAAAGTATACTGTCAAATATGGGTAACAAATAATAAACAAATGTGTCATTAAATCGCTCCAAATTAAAGATGATAAAAACGGAACGAAGGTTGTTAGTTGAAATGTTGTTAACGAAATTTAGAAGTCCTCAAAATTTATATTCTTATGGATTCAAATCATGGTTATATTACCCATGATCAGAAAATAAACAATTTCACTAAATATCTTTGTTTTAATGTAAACTTAAACAGGTAAATAATTATATCATTAATTTAATAAAGCTAAGTGTAGAAAATGAAATCACCAAATTTTCTCGTATTTCGCTTCCGGAACTTGTCAATACTTCTGAAGCCATTTCGTACAATATAAATATGTAATCAAAATATAAAACAATCTTAGTATTTTTTAACACTTCACAACATACACCATACACATTCAGTTTTTTTTTTTTTTGTTCACAATATTATTATTTTTGACAAAATCACAACTAAAAATTCAAGAAAAAAGTGTAATCTGTAAAATTGAAGTGAACCATAGATAAATAAATATGTAGCAAGGAACGAAACGAAAATGACATGCACCACGCAGTGCTGCCAGATGCCTTGAACGTTTTATCTGTATTAGAAACTGCTAAAATCTGTATTAAATCTGTATGGCATTTTAATTTAATATCTGTATAAAATCTGTATAATCAAATAAACCAAAATAGAATTATTGGTTATCATCATCATTACTTCTTTTAAAAAAACAAGGGATAAGTACTAACGTTATAAGGTTTAATTATCCTTATTAAATGAAAGTATACACATTTTTTTATATAACAAAATTGAAAACATTAATTCAATCAAACAATATATTGAAACTCAAGCATTTGCAACAAACGAACTAATAATGGGTGCGTTTGGCAGAAAAAAGCGCTAGCAAGCGCTTACAAGCGCTGAAATAGTTTTCGGCCAGGACACGATTGCTACTTCAGTAGCGCTGACACAATCCGCCATTTTGCTTATTTAATTTGTTTGTTTTGAAGTAGAGTTTATAAGTTGTTTTGTGCAACATTAGTTTTAAGTAATATATTGACATAAATAAACATATACATGTTATTAAAAATTCATGATTGGTAAGTTTTTAATATGAATACTTTACAAACATATATTTAAATTAAGTTAGGTTCCCCGGTTAAAACTAACATCTTGTCCTGGAAGAAAATAGCTACTTACGATTTGACAGCGCTTACCGCTTACGATCGCCATTTTGCTTACAAGCGCTTGCTAGCGCTTTTTTCTGCCAAACGCACCCAATGACATTATTATTTCAGTCATACATATTTTCAAATTTGGAAACTTTACTGCCAAAGTGACCAATGAATCAATTCTACGAGACTTGACAGCTAGCGGTCAAGAAACTGCATTTGTTTAAACACATCATTGCTAAAATCGTACCTTTTTTCTACCTGATTTGCCCCTTTAATAAAAAAAGTCAAGGCATTTAAGTTTGAATGCTTCAATATCTTCTTGGTGAAGAGCATTTGAACTCGTAGAGACAACGGAGGCTGAAACCTTTGCTGCTAGGTAAAGGTCATCTATTGATTTGTAATGACGTGGATTGTCAATTTGAATTAAACCGACTTCATTTCGCGAAACGTATGCGTCGTCCATGTAACATTCCAGTAAAGTTTTAAAAACAGTCACCGTGTTTTCATGCATTTCATGAATTTGTGGCCGCTCTGACTGCATCAGCTTATTCATTTATTAAATATCTCTAAAGAAAACTCCAGAAACTCTTAATTTAGCTTATTATATGGATTTTTTATTTTGAACAATATCGAATCAGCATTCAAGTGGTCCGTAAGAGCGGTTACAGTGATATAATTTTAGTGCGCCATACTGTTCTAGAATACGGCAAACTGCTTCTCTCAGCGAAAGCCGTCGAGTTTGAGTTAGATGGAGGATATTATGAGGCATTAGATCTAAGAACTGCCAAAACTCTTTTAGAATTCCAGTTCTTTTGAGGCTGTTATGAAAATAATTATAAATGTCTCGTATGAGAGTTTTGGGCCCTCTAGACAATTTTAAACAGGCATACGATGCACAGATATGGAAAGAGTGGCATACACACTTCAATACTAACAAGTGAGGGTTATCGGCAACTAGACTGGATGGTAATGAAATGTGCTGTCCCATCATGGCATTTGCACCATCAGCAGCAAAACCGGTAAGATTTTCCATTGGGATGTTATTGTCACTAAAAACTTTTTTAATATGTTGGTATAGCTTTTCAGCAGTAGCCTCTTCAAGGGGTATGAGACAAGGATATGCATCCTCAACTGTTCTTTCGAAAAAACGTGCTTATATGCATAAATGCTTAACACATTATCTATCTGTGCTTTCATCGACGATTAAAGAAAATTTAAGTTTTCGTAACTTTTCTATTGTCATTTGTTTTGCAGTTATGCCAGTCACATTTTTTACAATAGCTGTAGTTTTTGTTGTATCACAACTAATACATTTTGCGATTTGTGAACCGGGACACGTGTCCCCTCTTTTGATTGTTTCAATATTCTTGTTTGAAAATAAATCTGTCAGTAATGTTTGCGAGCTAGATCCACCAGGACTTGAATTTAAGTGTTTGTTTGTTTTCGTGTGTCTGAAAAGATCATTCTTCCCAGCACTTCCAATTTAAATATCTGTGTTACAAAATGTACAAAAGGCAAAGTATACGAAGAATCTTCCATCCAATTCCGATTAAACTTTTGCATCACTCTGGGTTTTTTAGATGCCATAATGGTTCACAAAATCACAATCAATATTAATATTTAATAAATTTTTGTATCTATGTTTTTAAATATTTACGTATTACCTACGCATACACAACACGACGAATGCGAGAGCGAAGTACCTTGGACAGCGCGCAAATATCTTTTGGGGATTTCCCGAGCAGAGCGAGTGACACTTGTAATGCTGCCATACTAACTAATTACGTTGTGAAAAAATAAATTAACCATAAAGAATAGAATCATGCAATGATATGTTTCATATTAGTTTGTGGGTATGTGTAACGCGGTATCTAATCATATACCTTTCTTCATTTTGTTTTAAGTTGAATATTATGGTAGTTTAATCAATAGCATTAGAAAATTATGTATAAAAATCTGTATCAAGTGCTAATCTGTATTACACACCGAAAATCTGTATAAATACGGAGAAATCTGTATATATGGCAACACTGTGCACCAGATGTGTGAAAGAGTCGGAAAGAGTGAAATCTGACTAGTATATAGTTATCTGTGGAGTGAAACACATAGATTATGGAGTATTAAAAAGTGTCCATAGAAAATCGTTAAATAAGGGTGGCGCCACTATAGCTACGTGGTAAATTTTAAAGAACGCGCTGAAAAATATTAATGGAATAGACGACTTTTTCGAGGTTATATTTACTAAATAAAATTATTTTAGATTTTAGAGCTACTGAGCAGTTTAGCAGTACACTTCACACCGTCGACGACTGCTAGGGCGCCTTCAAATTAGAGGCGTAAATAAGCGCTGCAGTGGCGCCACTGGGGTAAGCTAGCCGCGCCACTACCAATTTTAATACAATTTCTAGAAGCGCAGTTGCAGCGCCACTACCCTGACACACGTACGTCATTTTTGCGTAGGGAAGTGACACGCTTTTAATTATATTGAACCTCCATTATTATTCATATTTAATTGATGCGCTATTTGGGATGTCAAGTCTTGTTCCCTGAAGTTCTCTATAGAAGTCACTATTTTTGAAAATTTGTAAATCCACAGCTAGACCCAAAGACCCAACATCTATATAGGTGAGACAATAATTATAATCACATACAGCTAAAAGAACAATAGAAAAATAATGTTTATAATTATAAGACCCGAAGTATTCTGGTTGGATGATACGTATATGTTTACCATCTATGACACCCAAACAATTAGGAAAGTTGGATTTATTGAAGAATCCATTTGCGACCAATAATCTTGACTTAGTTTCGGGATATAACTAGCATTTAGAATTTCGAAGATTATTTGACATGTTTCATTTACAATCCCGCAAATGGTTGAAAGTCGTTATTGATAAGAGTAGTGTAAACTTGTAAGGTTACAACCTGATGCTAATACCTTAAAAAACACCATGTTTTTATTTGTATGTATTTTGAAATTTGCAATTTTTTCAAGAACTGACAAACATCACTACAATTTACCGAAGCATTACTGACGCGCGTCTACTGCGACACAGTCGAGCCACTGTAGCGCTTCTTTTTGGTAGCACCACCGCAGCGTGCGTCATCGCGCCTCTAATTTGAAGGCACCCCTAAGTTCATTTCATGTAGCTTTTTCCCGTAGCTATTCCAGCGCTGTTGTGGATAGTTTTTGGACTGTTATTTATTGTTTTAGATGGACACTTTTTCAACTATTCTCCTATTAATTTGATTTTTTTGTTAATATGAGAGATTGTTCTCCTTACCTCTACACTCCATAACATAGATGATAGACAGAGAATCTGAGTTTTGGCGGGAACTTGGCCGTAGATGGATTGTCGCTCCTGTTTTGTTGCTTGAATAATGGTGTGAAGTAGATTTTGATTCGTAAAGGTGATGCGATTTTGTGAATTAATTGTCCGCGCGTGTTGTTCACACATTAGAGAAAACGACGAAACAAGTGCTTTGATGTCGATATAAACCTCAAGTTATTTTGATCGCTTGGACGCCTTATGAACTTGAGTGGCTGTCGTCATCAACTGTCCGCTAGGTTGAGCTGTCGTCAAAATCTCCCAAGGGCTTCGCAATGTGACGCATCAGCATATTGTGAAGAAAAAGAACATAAAATGAAGATTCCAAAAGAAAGGATAGGCTCAGAAGGTCTAGGAACCAGAGCCGTAAAGCCAGTTAATAAAGAAGAAGACAGAGAATCTCTGTCTACGATATGTAGCAATTTTTTTGTTATAACTGGCTTTATGGCTATGGGTTCTAGCCCTTCTGTGCCCATAATTTCTTTCGTAATCTTCTTTTTTATGTGTTTTTTTTTTCACAATATGCTGATGCGTCACATTGCGAAGTTTTTGGGAGATTTTAACGACAGCTCAACCCAGCGGACGGTTGATGACGATAGCCACTCAAGTTCTTAAGGAGCTCAAGCGATCAAAATAACTTGAGGTTTATATCAACATCAAAACACTTATTTCGTCGTTTTCTCTAATAGTTCTCACGCGCAGACACTTAATTAACAAAATCGCATCACTTTTAGGTATCAAAATCCACTTTAAACCATTATTCAAGCGACAAAACAGGACCGACAATCCGTCGACGGCCAAGTTCCGCCGAAAACCCCGATAAATTTTTTATTT